ATGACCAGAGATTATTGCTTTATTGCGTCGTTTAATTGAGAAGAATATAACAGTGAATCCAAATAAGTGTTCATTTTGTGTATCTAGTTCCGAATTTCTTGGTTACCTAGTTGATGGTAATGGTTTTAGACCAGATATGAAACGACTAGCTCCACTGACTAATGCACCGTCTCCGAAAAATCTTACAGAATTACGTTCATAGTGGGTGCTCTTCAATACTATTCCCGTTTTATTCCTAATTTTTCTTGTTGTGCAAATTGTTTATTTAATATTTTAACATCCAATTCAATCAAATGGAGTGAGGAACAAGAGTCATGCTTACGAAGTCTGCTGAAGTTTCTTCAAAGTGATGCTGTTCTTCGAACGTACTCCCCTAATGTACATTCTGTGCTTATTACTGATGCATCAACTGTGGGAATTGGTGCAGTTTTGGAACAGGAAGGTAGACGTGTTATTTGTGTTTCACGCAAACTTACTGTTACTGAACAAGGTTATTCACATACTCAGCGAGAAGCATTAGCTGTGTTTTGGGCTGTTAAAAGACTTCATAAATATTTATTCGGAAAGAAATTCACTATTGTTACTGACCATGAAGCTTTAAAGTTTATTTATCATCCCGAAAAATCCTTAGCACGTTCCTCAGCAGCTATGGTTCAGCGATGGATTATTGCTTTGAGTGCATATGACTATACGGTTCAGCACAGAAGTGCCAAACAGATTCAACATGTTGATTACATTTCTCGACAGTCATTACAAGATAAACCTTTTAATACTTCGGATTGTTTGTTAGTGCAACCTTTACCAGTGAGACGTTCAGATCTCATTAGAGAAATTCGTAGATATTTTGGATGTATACTTAGTGCTATAAGGAAAGGTTGGAATGCTAATTTGAAACGGAGATTTCCTATCTATTTTTCAAAGCGGGATGAGTTATCTACTACTCCTGATGGTATTCTGTGTTTAAATGATCGTGTTGTCATTCCTCCTTAATTGCGTAAATCTGTTCTTGAAGATATTCATAGTGGTCATTTAGGTGTTGAGAAAATGAAGTCCTTGGCAAGGCTCACAAGCTGGTGGCCAGAGATAAATGCAGATATATGTCGTACGGCAAACAATTGTGAGAAATGTCATCAGTTGAAAAGTCATCCTTCGAAGTGGATGCCATGGCCAGTATCGTCTGAGGCCTGGCAGAGGATTCATGCTGACTATTGTGGCCCATTTCTTGGTAAATACTACGCACTAGTAGTCATTGATTCTTTTTCAAAGTGGCCTGAAGTTTTTTTCACAATTTCACCGAATTCTGATTTCACAATACAAGCATTAAGAAAAGTGTTTAGTCGAGAAGGTGTTCCCTTGGTGTTGGTGACTGATAATGGCTCACATTTTGCTGCAGATGCAGTCACTACCTGGTTGAACGTTATAGGGTGCAAACATCTATTTACTGCTTCCAGACATCCGTGTTCTAATGGTCAGGCAGAGAATTTTGTTAGGACATTAAAGACTGCTATTGATTCTATAGCTCCGTCAACATTTAATGAGCTGGAGAGGGGAGTAGATACCTTTCTATTGCAATATAGAAATGCCAAACATTCGGTGACGAAGGAGACTCCAGCGAAGCTACTGAAAGGAAGAATTCTTCGGTTGAATATGAGATGTCTGGAGTCTGCAGAGGTTACATACTATCGAGGAAATGATCTTCGACCATCTACGGGTATTGTTCTGAAGAATGTCGGAAAATCGATGGTGCGAATTCTAGACATCGATGACTTAAGTACACACAGTCGACATGTAGATCAAATACAATTTCAGGAAACAGGTGAGTCAGTTCCAATTTCGATTGTTAATTCTAATGCTAATGAGCATATTCTAGATAATACAGAATCCTTATCCAATACAATGTCAGACAGACTCAGGATGAATTTGAGAAGACGTACGATTGATTACAAACATCTAGACTCCAATTTAAGCTGTGGCGGATGTGGTGTTTGAATGAACCAATGAAACCTTTGTACTGGTTGTTTGTTTGATTTCGAATTCTAAATACAGTACATTCGTTGTGCCTGTGTCTTCTTAATTCAATTGCGTTAATCCTGGAATTCCTAATTCATACGACAATTAGAATACTATAGATTCCCATCCGTTTTGAACTCAGATTCGTACTACAGATCACACGATAGATAATTTCTGTATATACGTCGTCAGGATAAACTGTCGTTGAAGCAACCTTAAAATTTTGTTGATCCTATATATTACTGTATGTAGTCCTTCAAGAATATCTTGTCTTCATGTTAAGCACTTAAATATCTAGCTTTTAGTATGCTGCTTATCAATATCTGAACCTCAAGTAAAACAACAGTCAGACAACGTTATTTCAGAGATTGCCTCCCAAATAAGCAAAGCCGTGTTCAAAATATATAGAGACGTAGTTGTGTAGCCCTGAAAATACCACATGAGATGGGGGTATACACGGAATGTGTTTTATTCAGCAGAGAATCAATAATTAGGCTATCACATTTACGACTACAGTCGACCAGACTCAAAAATGAGGGCTAACATTTTTAAACTGTTTATTTAACACCTCCGCCTCCGCATGTAACAAGTTTATAATCAGCGTATACTAACCCAGTCAAAACATAATCAGAAGAGTTTGGTGTGAGTTGAGCGTCAACGTCAAGGACATAGAAAACCATTTATCACAATTGATTGATCACTGGGTGGTGATCAATGTCATGCTTGTCTAGTCCTTATTAGTGCAGATCGAATGCTAACGTCTCTGACTGTGAAGCTGGGTGACACGAGATCGAATCCGCCAGGGAGCACCAGTTCCCACAAGATTACAGATACACCTTGCTGACGAGTGCCAAGTAGCACGAAACCCGGGTCCAGGGTTTCCTGTTGACTACCTCCAACCACCATCTAAATCTCAAAACCATTTATTTTGGGGACTTTTTCATAGCACACTTCCATAGATGAATGTTTTTATATATATGTATGTGTGGGTACCCCACATTCCTTGGACCATACCGGAGGGGCCGAGAAACACCACCATGGTTCAGTAAGGAGGTCCGCATCCTTCTCCGTAAGGGACGAAAAATGTGGGATAGATTTGAGTGACTGGAACTGACGAGACAAAATCTCAGTATCGAAAAGCTCGGAATACTTGTGCCTCGACCCTCCGTAAGTCTAGAGAGTTGTACGAAGAGAAAATTGTTCAGGAATCCATAGAATGTCCTTAACGCTTGTATTCCTATGTAAACAAAAGGACAAAAAGAAGAAACATTCCTGCACTATGGGGAGACAGTACTGCCGCATCATTGGTGGAGGACGACTTTGGTAAGGCTCAAGTGTTCTCAAACTATCTGAGTAATGTATACACCATAGAAGCACCCTTCCCGTCAGTATATACAAATCCACCTACATAAACACTGGACAGCGTAACCATTACGGAATTCAACGTCTTTGGTTCGCTAAATATGCCTGACAGGCAAATCAATTGGACCCGATGGACTGCTTCCTAAGTTACTAACGGAACTAGCTAACTTCTTTTAGAACCCTTTAGGTATATACTTTAATCTATCCATAAAGCAGAGTCGTTTACTAAAAGATTGGAAGAACGCCATAGTAAGTCCTGTCTTAAAAACAGGTACGAAACATAAACCTGAGAATTACCGACCTGTTAGCTTAACCAGTGTGGTTGTTAAAATCTTAGAAAAGATTATTCGGAAGGAGCTGTTTCAGTACCTCGATGAAAATCGGATACTTTCGGAGAAACAGCATGGTTTCAGAATAGGTTGTTCTTGTCTCACTAACTTATTAGTCGCTCGTGAAAGCTGGTGCGCTATTAAGGACCAAAAGTTACATGTAGACGTAGCGTACATTGATTTCAGCAAAGCTTTTGACAAAGATTTGCACAACCGGTTGTTATGTAAGTTAATAAATGCTGGGTTTAGAGCCAATCTATTGATGTGGATAAAAGACTTCCTAGTTGGGCGCCAACAAGGAGTACGGGTGAACTCAAAGTTGTCTAGAAGGGAAACTGTGCTTAGTGGAGTGCCCCAGGGTACAGTTTTGGGGCCAGTGCTATTCCTCTTGTATGTAAATGACCTTCCTCGTCTCCTATCATCGGTCTTGCTATATGCTGACGATGTCAAGATATGGAGAACGATACGATGTAAGGATGATAGCTTAGAACTCCAAAATGACCTGAGAAAATTATCTGAATGGTCTCAAACCTGACAGTTGCTGATAAATGCTTCCAAGTGTGTTGTAATGCTTATCGGTCATCAAGGTACAGATACATACACGATGAATAACACTGAGCTACCTGTTTTCCAGACACATAATGACTTAGGAGTCATCGTTAGCCAAGACTTAAAGACTACTGCACACTGCCGTGCAAAAGCCGCCGAAGGTTTTAGAACCTTATGGTCAATACGTAAGGCCTTGAGTCACGACGATGCTAAAAGGTTTTTGTCTTTGTATGCAGTGTTCGTACGTCCTATACTTGAGTACTTCACACAAGCGGCTGTCTCCTGATTAAAAAAGACTGAGCTTTCGGAGAAGGTTCAGCGAACTGCAACTAAACTGATTCCCGGAATAGCGGAGCTTCTGTATGATGCTCGACTGGCCAAGCTAAACCTATTCCCGATGTCGTATCTAAGAATTTTCACATAGCCAGAACAAATTACATGTCAACTGACTATTGACTTTCCCATCGAATCATCAATGAATGGAATTCATTACCTCAGCACGTGTTTGAGGCTCGATCCGTCGACTCTTTCAAAAGAAAATTGTATCAACTTAGAGACCACCATTGCCTAGGAATAACACAGGCTACCAGCTCTTTACCAACTGAAACTGAAGTACTTTCACGTTTCATAGTATTCCTAAATTTTCTATAAAACGTTTACTTCATCTAAATAAAACATATTTTACTGTCCGAACCTCAGAGATGGTTACTAGTCACCTGGATATTGAGGATTAGCAATATGAAAGGAGGCAAATACAAAACATGGATACCAGCGCGTGGGTCAAAAAGGTCAAGTCTGCGAAAGCGACTGTCATTATTGAGGATGGTGAGCGGTCATTAATTTACCGGAACGTTGGAGTCATACTTTTCACCAGTAATTTTGAAGCTACCCGTTTCGCATTATAAATTAGGATTGAATTGCATCCATTATATGTACTACACTTATCCAGTTGGTCACGCTCATGCATACTGAGCATCTTAAACTGAATTTTCCATCATAAATGTACAGGGCTGTCGTGTCACAAAATGGGCCACTACCTGGTTCGTCTATTCTACTCAAGCTCTTCAATTTTGTATTGCAATAGTAGTGAATAATACCTTCATTTCTCAATACTACGAAACTGAAGTTGTGTCTTTTTAAAACATTTAGAGGTATGACTTAGAGTTACACCCTAAGTATATATATACAAGCATATCCAAAATGAATTTCTCTTATGTCGGTCGCTTGGAGTGACCGGACTACGGCAACAATCATCTGCATCGCAAATCGCCAGATAACTATGTTTGCCAATGTAACCAGGTCGTTATTCTGGGCTATTTGAGATACCATTTCGTACTAACAGCACTTTAAGTTTTCATTTTCCTAGGCTAAAATTGTAGCCTTCAAGTAATTGAAGAGCAGCAACTGTAAGAAGATATAATGATAATGCATTACTCCGAACAAGTTTATTTATGACTACTTTTTCAACAAATATGCGTACTTATCTAGAAAATAATACGCCAAAGCACTCATTGACTGCTTTCATATATATATATATATATATATATATATATATATATATATTGTTGAGCCACCATCCGAATCAAAATATCTCGATAAATTGAAACCTTGCTCCTTTTTCTTGTTAAAATTTTCTAGGAAAGCGTAAGGTTCACTTCTTATTTCCCGAAGGTTTGCAAATGGTTGAAGAATATGACTTGTCTACCCATAATTTACTGAGTAAGTATGCCTTGTTCAAATCACCTTATGATCATAATGAGCAAGGAAATTTAGAAGCAAAACCGTACTTGGTGGGGACGGGCAGTGGGAATATGAAGTTGGAGAATCACTTAGGAGAGAAAACCAGTTTTCAGAGCATCTAATGGAGTCATCACAAGCTGTATTTTAATATTTTCATTACCTTAGTAACAGAATTAGCCACTGTTCAGTCGTAGTGATGTTCCACATGCATTCCAATGGCGTATCCGTAACTTACCTTACCCGTTAGATGTGTACAGAGTTTCCATTGAAGATGGAAATATCTTATTGCGGACCACCAACAAAAAGTAAGCACTACACTTAGTTTCGATTACTTTCAATTCAGATATTACAAAAAGTTCAACATTCCGGATATGACCCGAATGGGTTTACCCCTAAACGAAAAGTCCATATCATTAACCCATGCTAACAATACTCTTCTGATTTCGGTTTGTGATCTTCGTATCTAATCTGTTTTCTTCCTTCTAGTACAAAAAGCCGGAAGAAATATTAGAAAACGAAAAACTAGTCCGGCAATATGTAAGTACATTAAAGCCAGTAGAGCAACAAGAAGACTGCAAGACATCCTGACCAAATATAATAGTTTACTTAGTTCTTACAATATTTTCCGATGTGTTATGACTCAGCTTCTTGTTTTGCCCTCGCACATCCGAAAAGACAACTGGCTGTCAGCAATTTCGGACGTGGAAAGTGTGCCAGCTCAGGTTGCCAGAATACATCAGGAGCGTAGTCAGAATTTATGAAAATGAATACCATGGTAGTAGCTGTTTCAGTTACAGCGAAAAAGATCAGCCACAAGCAATATAACTTGTGGAAAGATGAATGAGTTGAATAAAAATTAAGGTAATTTCTAAACCAAAGATTAAATGGCCCCTTTGGGATCGATTCTGTGTTGTCATCTGTCGACTTAGAGGAATAGTCAGTGAGATCATTGACTGAAGCTTGTTATTTCACCTGCTATTTTTATACTAGTAATTTACGTAGATTAAAAAAAACTTTTCCAAGCATATGTGTGAGTAATTAGAATGTCATTGTTTGTTACACAAAGGTTTAGGAACATTTAAAGCAGGAAACTCTGGAAAATTGTCGTTCAAGAAACGTTAGACTTCCCCAATGGTTTGAAGCTTATTAACCCAATAGTTCAAAGGTAAACATGTTTGGGATCTAAGTGTTTGGAGGGAGAACCTAGAATATTTACTTGTGTAGCGGATTCCTCCCTACAGTGATTTGCTCTGGCGAAAGGTTAAGTGACCAATAATCAGTAATCCTTATGGCACTCCTACTACACATTAGAAATACCAAAAGACTTCTAAATGTCGTGAATATAATTGCCAGAATTTTTAGTCTCATTGAAACTTACTCATCAGCCAGTATATTGATACTGACTCATATTATGCCTTGATCTTACTATGGACAATCGTCCCCGTGTGGGTAATTTGTTCTACTTCTGGGTACTCATCTGCACATTTAAAACATTCTGAGAATCCTATACTTATGCTTTAAGATGTAATAAGGATTTCACAAACACTTATATAAAGCTTCATTAAGTGTGATGGAAAATTAGAAGACTGGTTTGGAAATAGTCAGTCAGTAACAACGTAGAACACCGTACGTACGTACATCAGTTCGAGTTGCCACACCACATTAGCACAGAGATGCAGTGGTCGATTCAAATCCCGTAGTGGTAGATGTAATAAGAGTATAAGCAGTAATCGGGAAGATTAGGGTTTGGAGATGTTATTTAAAGAGTATAATCCAGTGAAAGAAATTTGGAAAGAGGGAAAAAGGGACATGAAGAATTCAGAAGATTAGAGTTTGGGAGAACACAGAGAGTGGATGCACCTGCGCCATTGCGAACGATTTTGAGCCATGTCATTCAGGGTCTCTAACCATCGGTTGCTGTCATCTCGCGGTCCCCAACCAGGTAGTCTACACCTACCAACATGACTCAGTTCACTTGTCAGTGACTTCATGGACTTGTGCCATGTTTTGGTCTTGCCGCCCCTAGCTTTCTTCCAACCTACTCCTATACCACTGAACATAGCACGTCGAAGCAGTCGGTTGTTGGGCATACGTAACACGTTTCCCAGCCATCTCAACTGATGAAGTTTCACTACTTCATCAATTGATTTGCCATCCTTACCTAGTACCCGTTTCCTAACAACTGTGTTACTTACTCGATGGTCCCATGATATACGAGCAATGTTTCGAAGACACCTATGATCGAATACTAGTAACCTACGGATATCCTCTACTCTTACCGGCCATGTTTCACTGCCATAAAGTAGGACGGAACGAACTGCTGCGCAGTAAACACGTCCTTTGGTTGATAGACGGATATCTCGCCTACGCCATAAATGACGCAAGTTGGTAAAAGCTAGTCGAGCCTTCTGTATCCGTGCTGAGATTTCGTCACACACCAGACCACATGGGCTGATGAGACTTCTTAGATAAGTGGAGCGATCCACACGCTCAATTACTTCACTCCCTATCATTAGTTCGGGTGTCTATGTAACCCAATGCTGAAGCAACATTTTGCATTTCGAGGGGGAGAATCGCATGCCGAACATGACTGCATTGTTGCTTAGAGTGGTCAGAAGACTCTGAATTTTGTCAGCGTCTTCACCAAATAAAACTATGTTATCTGCATATTCTAAGTCAACAAGTGAACCTCCCGGTAGAAGTTCAATCCCTGGAAATTTAGATGACGAGAGTGTTATCTCTAAAAGTACGTCAATGACAAAGTTGAACAAGAATGGAGGGAGTGGACAGCCCTGATGAACACCACTTGAGGTAATCAATTCTGATGACAGTTCGCCATAAGCTCTCACTCTACCAGTTGTATTCGAGTAGAGAGCCTTTATAAGGTTAATGTACTTCTTTGATATTCCTTTTAGTGACAAACACTGCCATAGAGCCTTACGATCAACAGAGTCGAATGCTGCCTTAAGGTCGAGAAATACTACTATTGTGAGGCGTCTGAACGTGTGTCTGTGTTCTAGAACTTGACGTAGTGTGAATATGTGGTCTATACAACCACGTCCAGGTCGAAAACCAGCCTGATTTTCTCTAATCTGCTCTTCACGATCTTTCGTTAGGCGTCGAAGTATTATTGAAGCCAATATTTTAGACACTATATTTGTCAAACTGATTCCTCTGTGATTGTCACAAGAGGATTTTTGTCCTTTTTTATAGACTGGCACAATCAGTGATTGAGACCAGTCAGATGGGATTACGTCCAGTTCCCAAATTCTACCTAAGACCTCAGTTAATCTTGCTGCTAATACTGAACCATCATCCTGAAAAATCTCAGGAGTAAACCTGTCAGGGTCTGCTGCTCTCCCTCGTTTCAGATTTCCTATGGCTTTTTCAACTTCGTAAAGGGACGGAGGACTTACATTAACTTGCCATTCAGGTTGACTGGAGATCGTGGGAAACCGAAGTGTGGCTGAAGGCCAGTTGAACTGATCCCTAAAGTGTTCTGCCCATCGATCCAATCTCCTGGATTGAGAATGAATAATATGTCCATCTTTCTCTGAGATTGTTTCGCTAACGGTCGGGTTCCTAATTCCGGTTTCCTTAACGAGTCTAAACAATTGTCTGCTATTACCTATTGCCGCTGCCTTTTCCATCTCTCTTGCTTTCGCTACCCACCACTGTTCGCGATCATTGCGTAGACTTCTTGTCAGCTTGCGCTTAAGCTGACTCCGCTCTTCATTATGTTCAGAGCCAGGTGGAATGAGTTTTCGAGCATCTATCAGTGCGCTAGATGCTGCTGAGATCCAGTGTTGCTCCCTAATTTTACGGTTTACCTTACTAGCAGATATCACTGCTGTTTCCTCAGCTTTTCGGATATCGTTCCATGCTGCCTCGGGGTGGGCATCACATACATGGCTGCCTAATTGTTTTCCTAGTTGTTCCTGAAATATATTCTTAACTTGACTATCATTAAGTAGGGCCCTAAGAGGTTTCCTTGCAGGATCTTTCCTACGCCCAGTAAGACGCAAGCAAATACGCGCTCGCACTAGAGCATGATCTGAATCTAGGCATGTGCTCCAGAATGAGCGACAGTCTTCTATCGAGCCCCTCCATCGGTGGCTGATAGCGATGTGATCTATTCGGGTCCAACGTTGGGACGAATTAGAGGGTCGCCATGTTAAAAGATGTTTTTCCTTATGCTTAAAGTTAGTATTTGCAAGGAACAGGCGGTTATCTGAGCATAGCTGCAACAGACGGTCGCCATTATCTGTTCTTTGAGCCACGACACCATAGGATCCACCTAGGTGTCTTTCCTTATCGCTTAGTTTACCTACTTGAGCATTAAAGTCACCGGCCACTATTACTACATCCGAGCGCTTAGCTTTTCGGAGAAGGTCCGAAAGCTTTCTGTAAAACTCATCTTTTACATCATCTGAGCTGCAGTCAGTGGGAGAATAGGCAGAGACGACGAAGAGGCAACGACGAGTGTCCCTATCTTTCCGGATTCTTACTGTTCCGTTCAGTCGGACAGCGCACAAACGACTGTTTACTGGGATCCACTCTAAGAGAGCTAGTTCTGCCCTAGGACTCAATGCTATACCTACGCCGGCGAGGCCACGGTAATCAGAATCAGGGCTTCCAGATACACGAAGCGTAAATCGGGTCGGTTCTTTATTTTGGCATGGTGAGGTCAAATGAATGACGCTACTCGGATCTTGTATGCGCGTTTCGGAGACGCAGCACACATCGATGGCGCGAGATTCTAAAGTCCTAGCTAAGGAAGCCTGCTGTCCTATTTGGCACAGTGTTCGTACGTTAAAAGCTCCTACGTGTAGTTTAGAGCGTGGTTTCAGGAGACCAGGAATGGCGTTCCACGTACTCGAATCGTTTGCCCTAGCGGTGCGAGGTGATAAAGAGACTTGAGGAGCATTAGTCGGGAGGATAAGAGAGGTATTAGGAGGTGTAGGAAGGATTTGAATGTGACCACCTTGGTCTCTTGTGCTGTTACGGGTATGAGGGCTGATGTCACTTCCCGGCTGCCCACACCGTGGAAGGGTATTTCTTGATGAACCTGGAAAGGAAATTTGATTAGTGTTGGTCTTGACGACCTGGGAGCGTGACCGCAGAGCCCAAGGGACAACTGCTTGAGGCCGGTCGCGCACGACCTTTTTGTGGAAGGTTTTTGACGTGTTAGCTCCGTTCTTCAAGGGGCCTTACCGCCGGAGACGGAAATCCGTGAGGTAAGGTGAGGTGTGCATTTTTAGGGTCGACCTTTTCTAACCCCACCCCTCCTTGTGGGAAGGCAGCATCGCTGTCATGCTGGTTGTCCGAGGGAAACACCTTACTGCTGTCACACCTCTCTACAGTCAGCAGTACGACTTCGCCCTCAGACCTTGAGTTGCTGCTTTTAGTCTTACCGTTCGCCAATCGACCTGCCTGGCATGGTAGAACCTGCAGGAACATATGTTCCAGCCAATATAGCTCGGTTGGGTCATCACGATAGGCAAGCCCGACCACCGCGTCAAGGTAGCAGCTTCGATCGGGAGGAATCTATGGCCTCTGAGATCACAGATGAACTAATGGTGTGAACTTTAATTGTTGTAGCAGTGATAGAACGAGAAATTACAATGTTTTTTTCATCTCACATAATTTGCATGTGATATGATCGCTTCCCTAGCGTAGCTTTGTTCATTACACCGTAACAACAGCTCGTTCATAAATAACCTCTAGGAGGGATTCTATCTTTCAACTTACATATGATACTGATCTTGTAAGAGGATAAGTCAGAAACTGAATTGTTGTAAGAAAAACTTGCACATATAGGATTATAAAATCACGGAAATTGTTAGACGTTATAAGTAGATGGAAATGTAGTACAGAACTGAATTTCATCAGAGGGTCATCCTTAAAACAGCATTATAACAGTAGTACCACAATCTGTAATTCGCATTATTGTTTGGATGCAAAACTTCTCGCAAGGGGAAAATAGCCAGTATGATGTTTCGATTTTTAGTATCTGTGAATAGCTATCGTGACAATTACTAATAGAAATCAATTTCATATCTCCCAAAAAGGCAACGTAATAATGGCTGAAGGACTCAACCTCAATGGTATTCAAATACGATATACATGGAGCTGAGATTTTTAAGCGTTTCGTGAAAAGCATAATAAATAACTAAGGGTACAGTAAAATCCAGAAATGCGTTCCATATATTATTTACGTCTATACTCGGTTTTCTGTAAAAAATATAGGTACACAGAAAGAAACACCGAGTAGATTTTCAAGTAAAACAATAAGTCATCCAAAAAGAATTTAAAAGACATTTCGTGAATGTGATTTCTTCAAGTTTGAACTGGGCATGATATTAATAAAACTGCGAAAGCCATTCACAAAAATTTAGGATAATAACCACTTTGATATCTCTATTGTCCTGTCGATGGATTTACAGATTAATGGGGTTATAAGTGAGTGATTATGTGTCTTATGACTATAAAATCAACATACAAATTATGTTCATGAAATTACAATTGAGGTCACATTAAATAACAATATGTGGTATTTAATTGAAGCAGAGAACAAAAAGTATAATAGTCACTTCAAGAAAAGAATATACCCTCATTCATTCAATAAATGGATGGGCAAACATGCACTAATCAAGTTGTACTTAAGGACCAAGTTACATGTTCAGCACTATTTAACTCACAAAAATCTCTAACGCAATACGGAATGAATCATGAGGCTTCTAAGATGTATGGATCATGAAACGCAATATTATATGGCCGATATTGTGTGAAACAAGTGGTTGGAGAGCTGCATCTAGCGCTTAGTCACATTTACCCCAAGTTGATGGACGTTAGTGAAAGCATTGTTGGTAATTGCAGAGCTGGTTTTGGAATCAATATTTGGTGGGCCAGGTGTGTCGCCCGAACCAGACATCCTCAGCTGCTCAAGTTTCTTCCATAATTCTTCACGTTCCTTCTCCCGTTTACGTTCCCTAAGAAAAATTAAATGGAATAAACTTTCAAATATTTAAGGAAACGGAACATAGAAATAAGTAACTGTAACAGTTTATGTAGAATTGTGATATCTCTGGAATTTCATTGTTATTAGTATCTGTTTGTCTTATTAAACAGATAAGTATATGTAATCAACATCCAGGCGCACTGTGACGAGGTAACAACAAAAAGGAGGTTCCAATACAAAGAAAATCAATATCTTGATAGTAAATCATGCCAACTGTCTAACGAAAAAAAAACAGAAATGAAAGTGGTTTTAAAAATAGGGAAGATATAGTTACTGTTTTTAAGCGCTTTTGAATGCCAAGGATGTGAACCGAAGAGTAATCGCATAAAACCCAATTGACCTAAACATACGTTTTCATATACATAAACCTGCGAAGTCAACACGTAGAACCAAGGTAGAATAGTGTAGCCACATTTATTGAGTACACAATTCTTGACTTCAAACCATTTTAATGTCTATGAACAACGATCATCTGGGGAAATTGAACATAACTAATAGTTTTGTGCTACCAAACATTAATCGGAATGAAATTACATGTCTGAAAATGTTAAAGTTAAGAGTCAGTTAAGAAAATAGTGGACCTGGATATATATTGAAAACGCACGGATATTACACGAGCATTCATTTATACGGAATTATTGAGATAATCTAAAAACCACTTACCTTTGACGTTCTACTTTGTGTTTTTCAGCTAACTGATTGCACAAATTTGTATTCATTTCCATAAAGATTTTCAGAACATTTCCGACCAAAGCTACAATTGTTTGATTCCAATGCTCACGTGAAATACGATAGAAGGATGGGAATAATATTGGTATAAGGGTGTCATGATTTTCTTCAATAAGAGAAACTATATTATCATTGTTCCAATAACTTAGTGCTCGTTCAGCAACCTAGGAAGTACATATTGTAAAATTCAGAAAATACATTAGCAAGTGAAGTGCATTGTATTTTTAGGCAGAAATATTGGTAAGCCACTGTTGGCATAAGCATTGTTAGGCAATTAAAAACACATTCTTAAAGTATAAGTCACTTAATTTACACACTACATTTTGCAGAACTTGGGAGCTGTTGAACATTACTGAGGATCTTCATGTACATACTGGAAAATTTATCCAATATGTAATCGTGTAACTGTTCCATAGGTAACTCCTTCAAGAACCAAAGTCGACAATAATATTTTTGATCAGAGACCAAATGATTTCAAATTTAATTCGTACTTGGGTTGCATGTAATTGAACCCTATAACCTAGCAGCTGAGTGAACCAACTTCCAATGTAAATTGGTGACATTATGTGGCGAACTGTAATACATTTTCAAGAACAAAACTAAAACAAACCTGAAAGTGGGAACTTGAGACTGACTTCGCAATTTGTTTAAAAAGAGGGACCATAATAATCTGGAATTGTAAAGGCTCAATAACTTCTAGGATTTCTTCAATTTCACCTAAAAACATAACTTCTTTTTGAGAGTAGGTTTTGGGCCAAAATTTTAAGAGTCCGCGAACAACCTGCTCTGTCAGAGTCGCATCTTTATCCAAGAACTGGACTATGCAGTAAGCAAGCTGAAGAATAGGATTAAAATAGAATAAAGAAATAAATTGATTAAAATTAATGCTTCAAATTAACTGGAACTTGAGAGGATAAAATATACGCTTTCTTAGATGTCTGGCTAAGTATTGTACCTTAACAGATTGTAAGGCGATGTAACTACGGCAACTTATTGATACAAAGTATGGAAAACAGGTGTGATCTAAATGTTTCAAGCAGTCATATAGTTCGTTTCAATTTGTATAATGTACAATAGGTAAACAATTTTCCTATTTAGTGAGCGTCGATTAAAGAACTTCTTTCAAACAGAACGAACAGTTGATTCTAGTTAACTCTGAATAACATGCTAATTTGGATGGAATATTCGCGTCGACAGCTAAAGACAAAACTGGTAGTTTCCAAATTTATCTTAACCAATGTAAATGTGTCTGAATAAAGTTCTCAGGAGCCACACCTGGAGAAGTCTTTTGAAATAACTCAGAATCGGATGAATAAGTACAACTAAACACAACAGCATTTTACGAAGAATGAAAATATCCAGAAACGTCCTTAACTCGGAGGCCAGGTTTCACAAGCATAGAGCAAAACTGCTCTCACCGACGCATTGTAGATCCGATATTTACAGCCAGACTGACATCACGAAGGCGCCAAAGATGACCCAGATTGGCATAATTCGCTCTGGCTTTCCCTATACGCGCATTGATCTCATCACTCACGCCACCACCAGCACTTATGCAGCTACCCAGGTACACGAACTTCTCGACTACTTCTATCTGCTCACCATCCAGGGTGAGCACAGAATTAGAATCCTGCCAGTCTTGTAGAAGTACTTTGCACTTCGAATGTGCAAAGCATTTACCATACCTACGGACACTGATTGCCAACTGATTAAGTGCGGATTGCATGGCTTGGGCATTATCGCACAGTAAGACAATATCGTCCGCATATTCAAGGTCGAGAAGTCTTTCTCCAGGCAACAGATCCACACCGCCATTACTTACATCCATCAGAGCTGTTTCCAGATTGTCATCGTTGGCAAAGTTGAAGAGGAATGGTGAAATTGGGCAACCCTGCCTAACCCTACTGCTCGAATGGAACAATGGAGAGAGGTGTTTGTATGCCATCACTCTGCCTGAGGTGTTTGTATATAGGGCTTTTAGGATGTTAATAAACTTCTCAGGCACACCCTTCTTCAAAAGACAATCCCAGAGAACAGTCCTGTCCAACGAATCAAAGGCAGCCCTAATGTCAAGAAACACTACGATTTTTGGCCTTTGATAAGTATGGCGGTGTTCTAACATTTGGTGGAGGGTGACCATATGATCAATACATCCTCGACCGGAACGAAAACAAGCCTGCTCCTTGCGAGTCAATGTTTCCCGGGTTTTGAACAACCTACGATGTATAACGGAAGCCAATAGCTTGGACGCAATCGGAAGTAGACTTATCCCCCGATAGTTGTTACAGGAACGACGTGAACCCCTTTTAAAGATAGGGACAACTATCGACTCATTCCATGATGTTGGCACACTCACTAGTTCCCAAACCTTTGTAAACAACGCCGTCAGTTCCTTAGACAGAAAGTCACCACCATCTTTAAAAAAAGCCGGAGGTAAGTCATCTGAGCCAGGTGATTTGTAACGCTTCAAGAGTTGGAGTTCTTTGCGGACTTCCACCTCATTTGGTGGATCAGTCGCCACCGGCCATGGAGGGCAGGACAGTCTGACCGATGTTGCCGGAGCAGCAGGCCAGTTGAACTGTCCTTCGAAAAATTCTGCCCATCGTCCAAGACGTCGATGGATGTTAGCGATTGGCATCCCATCATCCTCGCAGATTGTTTCGCTCACACCAGACTTCTTGCTGCCAGTGGCTCGGATGAGTTAGAAGAGCTTTCGGTAATTACCAGATGCAGCTGCTGCTTCCAACTCATTAGCACGCTTCGACCACCAGGCTTCTCGGTCCTTACGCAAGCTTTGACCAATTTCCTTACGTAACATCCTTCGTTTGTGGTCAAACTCACGGTCACCCGGAGTAGACCGACGTCAGTCAATCAGCTACAACGTAGGACCAGGCACATATATGCATCGGTCCAGGTTGCCATACCTCATTAGCACAGCAAGATGAACACCGGATTCATAGGAGTGGTTAGGTCAAAGGTGGTAATATATAGGAGAAAGATTGCATATAAGAATACAGTACAGGAAGAAAGAATTAGTTAGTAGAAGGAAAGATATGAAGTGATTTTATTCTCTTAATTTAAGGGAAGACGCCATTGTGATAAATTCTGAGCCATGTCACTAAGAGTCTCCAATCATCGGCTCCAATGAGTTGTAAGGAGCCTGAAGAAACCCAGTGCTTATAAGCGGGACGTTTCGCGAACCCACAACTAACTGTACCCGCCATTTTCATGGCGTCATGCAATTGCAGCCAATGCTCATCTATACTTTTTGGTGGAATGGTAGCTAACCTAGAAACTAGCTCGGCTCGATACTTACTAGCAACAGAAGTTGCAACCAGCTTGCTAACATCAATCCGTTGGTGGCGGTCAATTCGTTGGCCACTGAAAAGTAAGGTAAGATTGGCGCAGACCAAGGCATGGTCAGAGTCCAGATAGGTACTCCAAAAGGAGCGGCAATCTTGTACACAACCACGCCAGCAGTCGCCGATCGCGATGTGATCAATCTGAGTCCGGGCTTGGGATGCAGAGGGAGGACGCCAGGTGGCACATCGGCGATGACTGTACCAAAAGTTAGTGCTATCCAGAAACAGATTGTGGTCTGTGCACAATTGCAGTAAACGGTCCCCGTTATCTGACCTGCGACCAACGAGTCCCCATCGGCCACCTAAACGACTCTCTTGTAGGCCTAGACGCCCGACCTGAGCATTCAAGTCTCCGGCCAGTACTACAATATCTGTCGAACGCACTTTCTGGAGAAGAACAGATAATTGGTGGTAGAATTCATCCTTGATTGCATCCGGGCTGCAATCTGTCGGGGCATAAGCGGAGATGACGAAAAGACATCGTTTCTCACGCTGATTTCTCCTCACTTACATGGAACTTTCTAATCTAACAACACATAACCGACTGTTAATGGGGATCCAATCGATTAGTGCTGCCTCAGCTCTAGCGCTTAGTGTGATACCAACGCTAGCAAGACTGGACGAAGATGTCTCAGGGTCCCCGGATAAACGCACGTAAAACAGGGTTTTCGAAGCGACAGATGGAGAGCGAATTCGTAGTACTTCACTAGAGTCTTGAATATGGGTGTCGGATAGACGACAAACATCAATATTAAGACTTTCCAAAGACACAACCAGCCCTATCTGTTGTCCGACCTGCATAAGTGTGCGAACGTTGAAGGCAGCCAGTTTGAATGGTGCACATGGTTTCAGGAAAACTGCTTCAGTACTCGTACTTGGTGGTAGCACACAATTTCCAACCAGGCAGTGACTCGAGAACGTTTAGATAGAGCCGAATTTCCACCATAGGCGAGCTGCTGTATAAGTCGAAAAACAAGTAAACACAGAGTGGGGATAAAAGAGGGTGAATAAACGACGTAGTAAATAATAATAGTAATAATAATAATAATAATAATAATAATAATAATAATAATAATAATAATATGAATCATTTGATTGTTAATCACAGCAAGAATAGTATTTTCCATAAATATAGATAAGTCATCATAATTGTGCGTGGGCTGTGATACTTCCCGGGTCCCCAGACCGAAGCAGGTGGTTTTCTTCGGGGGCCACACCCCGAGCCTTTGATCTAAAGGTCTAACCCACAAGGCAGTGGAGCATCATGAGGAGATGCAGTCCCATGCTAGCCGGTGACCAAGAAATTGGTTCATACGCCATTTGTTCCCACAGGATACTGGAGCCTATGTGCACCATTGGTTTGGGAGCCGGATAAAGCGCCGGACATTCGCTTTTCGTCCTCTCATTTTCGTAAACAACACCCCCGCCACGAAAAGGCAGTGAGTAGAACTTCCCTGGCATAGGCTGTATACGCGTGGCCGTGTGAGAGTATTTCGAGAGGGAGGGAGAGCCCTCCCCGCTCTCGGCCATACCAGGGCATTTGAAGGCCCTTTCGCTTAGTTCAGCTACTTAAGCATTAAAATCACCAGCCACTATTACTTCATCAGAGCGCCTAGCTTTTCGGAGAAGGTTGGAAAGCTTTCTGTAAAATTCATCTTTTACATTATCTGGGCTGCAGTCAGTGGGAGAATAGGCGGAGACGACGAAGAGGCAGCGACGAGTGTCCTTATCTTTTCGAGTCTTTACTGTCCCGTGGAGTCGGACAGTGCACAAACGACTGTCTACAATTGAAGAGTAGTTGAAGGCCAGCTGAAATGCTCCTTAAAATGTTCCGCCCATCGTTCTAAACGTCTGGACTGAGGACAGATAAGATTCCCTTCTTCTTCCGAGATCATTTCACTTACACTTGACTTATTAATCCCGGTTTCTCTTATTAGTCTGAAAAGCCGTCTGGTGTTGCCTACACCCACCGCCTTTTCCATATATTTTGCTTTTGTTGCCCACCACTGCTCACGATCGTTCCGTAGACTTTTGGTTGAACTACATCTGATTCGTCTTCGCTCCTCGTCGTGTTCGGAGTCTGATGGGCCTATCAGTGCAATGGATGTTGCAGAAATCCGCTGGTTTTTCGTAACCCTTTGGTTTAAATCATTAATGAATGTCACTGTTGTTTTCATAGCTGCTCGTATATCTTTCGAAGCCACATCTGGGTCATCCTCGTTTTCATAACTGTCTAAATGTGACTTCAGTTGTTCCTGGAATTTACCTTAGGCTTTCTCAATGCTGAGTTCAACTACATATGTCTTTCTGTTTGGTTTAAGCTGCCTACTTGGACATTACAGTCACCTGCTACGAGTATTATATCTGAGTGTTTAGCTTTTCGAAGTTTAGGAAGGTCCCAGTAAAATTCATTTTCCAATGCATCCGGGTTGCAGTCAGTGGGAGCGTAAGCAGAAATGACGAAGAGGTAACGACGTGTCCCTATCCTGCCGAGTTCTTATGGAGCCATTTAGCTGAACAACACATAGGCTAATGTTAACAGGGATTCATTTTAAGCGATTCCCCTGCCCTCATGCTTATTGCTATGCCAACACCTGCCAGTCAACGAGAACGTGCTGTGGGATTGCCAGATACACAGAGGGTGTATCTCGCCGGCTCTCAATTTTGGAGAGGTGAGGTCAAGTGAATGACCACACTAGGATCCTGTATATGTGTTTCGCAGATACAGCATACATCAGTGGTACGAGATTCTAGGGTCCTAGTCAAGGAGGCCTGCTGACCGTTTTGACATAGGGTGCGTATGTTGAAGGCTCCAATGTGTAGTTTGGAGCGAGGTTTCAGTAGACCTGGGACAGTGTTTCGTGCACTAGAATCGTTGGCCATGATGACACTTGAAGAGGAAGTCAAAAAAAGTTTAGAGTTGAAATTCGACATAAGAGGAACAATGGGAATTGAAGAGGGAGAGTGATTATGAATACAGTGATCTTGAGTGCTGTTAGAGGTATAATTGCGGTTATCATTTCCCAGTTTCACACAATGTGGAGGGGTTATTCTAAAGGTACTTGAAAGGGAAATCGGGTTCGAGCTGGTCCTAGTGACCTGAGTGCGCGACCGCAATGCCCAAGGGACAACTGCTTGAGGTCGGTCGCACACCTTTTCCTGGGTAATTTTTGTGTTAGCTCCGTACTTGTTGAGACCTTATTACCGGAGACGGAAATCCGTGGGATAAGGCGAGGTGTGCATTTTTAGGGTCGACCTTTTCTAACCCCACCCCTCCTTGATGGAAGACAGCATTGCTGTTATGCTGGTTGTCTGAGGGAAACATCTTACTACCGTCACACCTCTGTACAGCCAGTATTACAGTTTCGCCCTCGAACCTTAAGTTTGTTGGTTTTAGTCGTACCGCTCCTCGACCGACCTGTCTGGCATGGTTGGACCTAGAGGAACGGTTGTTCCAGTCAATAAAACCCGGCTGGTTCATCACGACAGGTGAGCCCAATCACCGCATTAAGGTGGCAACAACGGTCGAGGGTTGATGTTGGTAGGTTGGATAACTTATTTTGCGAATGTCTTGTATATAACAGAACGACAAAGTGTTTTACACAGCGAAGCAAACCACATTAATGGCACCTTTTGTAACAAGTTGGGTTTCAATATGCGTGAAAGCCTAAATTTGACTGATGTCAACTTGAAACATCATTTGTAACACCAACTAATGAATATGCGTACTTTTGTTCTCCTCAAACGGTACTCTATACCAGAGTTTAAAAATCTAGGACAGTAGACAGTTATCTGTGCAAATAAGTAACTTCTAGCAGCAAAAAAATTTACTTGAAACTTAGTCTAATCACAATGCTAACAATTACATTAATTTAAAGGGAACAAGCAACGACAAGTATTGTCTTAGTTATACCTAAAAAATACCCACAATAAACTTTTTGACAACTCACTTGAGGATGGAAGGTCACTAAGGACTTAGCTTTGTGAAGTGGGATCAAAACTTTTGCAAGGAACCGAGTGTGTTCAGACTTAAGTGGGAGGGCGAAGCCATTTATAATACTCCCCAAAATTTCAAGCAACTCCCCAACACCATTGAACTGTTCCGTTTCATATATGAATCTAGAAATAAATTTCCCAAGACTTTGATAATACCTTAGAAATATATTGTTAATCTGCTTCCTGATAAAAGACCTTAATCCCAAAAACTTCCCGTAGATGCGATGAACCACGGTCTTTAGCAGCTCACGTTCTCGAGGATCCTCGCTATCGAACAGCTCCAGTAACTAACTTTCGTATTGTAAAACTAACAATTTACTTGAAGTACAAATTTCTGGTCAATATATTTTTTAGCAGCAACTGGTTGAAAATCAGGAGACTCAAGGAAACGCAGGAAAAACTCATAGACGTACTATGAAAATGTGCTTAAGTAAAACAAGTTATTACTGAAAGGTGAGGCCAAGCTGCTTCCAAAATTGGATCGTCTTCCTCGGGATCAAAGTCCGGATTGTCAGAGGGTGGGAGAGGTCTGAATATGTTGCAGGCAATCTAAGAACGTGCTATCACAAACATAAGTCTAGGACAAACCATGGAAACAATCGGTTGGTAAACAGATTCATTCAAGGCGTTCCTTGTTACGCTTATGTACTCTACCAGCTCATTCAAGAAAGTTCTTTTGATCTCTTTACTACTGACATCAGAGGTTGAGTCCTCAAAGTTGAAGACAACGCAGCATTGCTGAAGTTTCTTCACAAACAACTCTTGGTGCTCAGAAGGAGAGACATCTAAAATTCGATCTTATAAGTGGATTTATGAACCTTTAAATGCCGGTAAACGTGTCAGTTCAGTTGGTGCTTTTGGTCTATAATGTGAAGATCCTTGGGATCTTTTCTGTTTCTTTCCCTTTATTTCTGCCTTAGTTCTAAACGGGTCAAGCTTAGGGATATCCTTTGACATCTCTTCTACAAAGATTCAGGGAAGGCGCACTCGCACACATACAATATTCAATGTCACTAAAGTGATCAAAAAATATTTGGAGCATACCGAACAGGAAAGTAGTGAAAATAACTAACTGATTGTTCCTTTACGTTGTTAATTTATGTCTACGAATAACTCTGGTTTTCTCTACATATGGATTTGGGTCCCGATTGTGTTCCCATCCACTTAGACTCCCCATCAAATTTCACTTCGAAGATAAAATTATCTTGATATTATAGCATGACTTTTCTTTTGGCCAAGAAAATAACTTTTTACATGTCATAACATTTAAAGGACTCTACCTTTTAGTTATTACCGAGCTGGTGCTATACTCCACCTTCCCACGTTTACCTTAATGAAGTAGTATGTAAGCCATTTTGTTATCAAATTACTCCTTAAAGTAAGCAGTTTTATCAACGTTAAACATTTTTCCCAACTTTCTTAGTCTCAAATGACGTTAATAAACTATAGTCGCTCGATCGAGCACCATCACAAAATCACCCTGCCGCCTGCCGTATAGCGCCAATTCTCAATTCTCATATCCTACTATACCTCTGAATGCAACTAAATACCTTGCTCCGCTTAATTACTTTGTCAAAAGATACTTGTCTAAACGGTATTCTATGGATTTTTCCTCAATTCAGCCTTCATATATGCATATTTATACAAAAGCTTTACCCTTTGTGCTCTTTATATGAGTATATGTAACATAAAATTAATCACAGATACCCTTAAACTTCATAGTGAAACTCTTCACTTAAATAATTCTACTGGTTGTGAACAGAATATAAGAAGCTGTCGCTTAACGGGCTTCCGTGTCTAGTGTCTGTGGATCACCAATACCTTCGGGCAGGAACCTAGGTATATTATCGATAAAAGAGGAAAAGGAAATCGGTAAATCATAGTAAGTACTATCGTTAGTCCTTAAGAAGCTACCTCTTTTAGAACTCCTGGGAAGTCGCTTACACTAGCTCAGCCGGCGGCGAATTCCAGCACTTGGTAACTCTTAAAAAGTTTCCGATTTCATTTCGTGGCTTGCCCTTGGATACGCTCCATAGTGTCCTTATCCTTTCGGAATGAGAAAGAAAATATTATATTTTCTTACACTAAGTGGGGACGAATGAAACTGTTGAAGATTATTAGGAAAGTTTGAAGATGCCACAGATATTTGGAGTTTGAAAACGCTCTATCCAGTAACACCTAGTATGAATCATACCCACCAAGTGAAATCATAGGACAGAAGCGAGGACGTTCGAAGATATATAGAAGTTTAAACCCAACGAATTTGTAGTTGGTAAACACTCTTCTGACAGCTTGTTATGCTTAGCAGCGTCCGGTCGTCTTTCTTTACTATAAAGGACTATGAAGCACAATATAGTAAAAAAGAAAAAGTACGATGAAAAGTTCATTTCCTCGTAACTTCATCGTTCTTTTTATCGCCTTTTCTAGCCGTACTGGAAAAGAAAAAATTCGCAAGTGCATGTCGAAATACACTCGTAAGCACGTAAAAACACAAAGCGGGAGAGAAAAGGAAAATAAACTCATGCACACGTACTAGCGTAAAAAAGGACTTCTGCAAAATGGTCTTTTTGTTTCTTTGGAATAAAAATATGTGTATATAAGCATATTAAAATTGGTTTTTATATATTATATATAGTACAAAGAAAAATCGAGATGATATCAAATGTCAACTAGTATCATACGTGCAGTAATCGTTCAAATGTTCTGGAAATCTTACTCTTCTTCCAGAACGCGTTGTTTTCAGTTTATTTTCTGATACTGCCGAAGTATCATCGTGCGTGTTGGCTGTTGAATGAGGTATTATAAGTGTAGGAGCCGTGTCGTTCGATTGTACCGAAGTGAAATCGACGTGAATAGGATTTCCTTCTAAATACGTTGCTTTGAGGCGATCGATGCTGATGCTGTCGTTGGTTCTGTTCTTATCGACTATATAGTACTTAGGCTCGCCTTGAAAAACTTTGAAGGGTCCTTCGTATGCTGATTCGAGAGGTCGTCGATGTGAGTCTGGACGAGCGAAGGCGTGTGTACTATATCGTAAGTCAGGTTGAACGAAAACATCAGTTGATTGAGGTCGAGTGGGAACAGGTTTAATTGAACGCATTGCGTTTGTAAGCCTGTTCGTGTAGTAGGTTAGATCCATGTTCATTGAAGAGGATGAAGGATCCACGAATTCTCCTGGAAGTCGAAGTGTCGTTCCATAAACGAGTTGAGCCGCAGTCTATCTAATGTCAGCTTTCACTGCATTGCGGATACCTAGTAAGACGAGTGGAAGAGCGTCGGTCCACTGAGAAATGTTTGCAGCTAATAGTGAAGCTTTTAGTTGTCGGTGAAAACGTTCTACCAACCCGTTTGCTTGTGGGTGGTAGGCAGTCGTTCAGAAGCGAGTGATTCCTAAAAGTGTGGTCAGACGACGGAAAAGTTCAGATTCAAACTGACGTCCGCGGTCTGTAGTGATGGTTGAAGGGCAGCCGAAGTTTGCTACCCATCGTTCGACGAAAGCGCGGGCCACTGTTTCAGCAGTGATGTCCTTGATACGTACTGCTTCTGGCCATCTAGTGAAACAGTCTACGAAGGTTAATAGATAACAGTATCCATTTGAATCTGGTAAAGGTCATACGAAATCCAGATGAACATGGTCGAAACGAGCATCGGGAGTTTTGAGAGAGCCTAAGGGACATTAATTGTGTCTGATAACCTTAGATTTTTGTCAGCTTACACAGCAGCGTGGCCACTCCCTCACGTCTTTATTCATGCCAGGCCAGCAAAACCGTTCTGCTATATGCTTGATGGTTGCACGAACACCTGGATGAGAAAGTTTGTGCAACGTATTGAAGACGTTGCGTCGATAATGTTTTGGCACGATTGGGCGATCCCTACCTGTTGATTTGTCACACAGAAAGGTTTCCTTACCTGTTCCTAACTGTTTGGTGCATAGCTTGAGTGTTGTAGACGATAACTCGTGCTGAAGATCAGTGTCTTCTTTTTGAAGCTCGGCGAGTTTAAGAAGGTCGATTATTTGGGAACTATTCAAGGAAGTTATTCGAGACAAGGCATCTGTAACTACATTGTTTGCTCTAGAAATGCGTTGAATATCTGAAGTAAACTTGGAAATGTAGTCCAGTTGTCGAGACTCACGAGGCGAGTACTTGTCTGAAGAGGAGCTTAAGGAGAAAGTAAGAGGTTTATTGTCAGTGAAAAGGGTGAATTCACGACCTTCGATGTAGTGTTGAAAATGTCGTACAGCACAGTACATAGCTAGGAGTTCCCTACCGAATGTGCTGTACCTCGATTCGGTGTCTAGCAACCGTCTAGAGAAAAATGCCAAAGGTTGCCAGGAGTTGTTAACCTATTGTTGTAAGACTCCTCCGATTGCTGAGTTGGATGCGTCTACTGCGATACTAATAGGTGCTTGAGTGTCCTGATGTGCAAGCATTGCTGCTTTAGCGATGAGTTCCTTAATTGTGGAGAATGCTTTTCGTGCGGTGTCGTCCAAATTAATGGATTTCGCATTTCCACGAAGACGGTCCGTTAGCAGCTTCATAAGTGACGCGCAATTCAGTATGAATCGTCTATGAAAACTTACAGGGCCCTTAAATGTGCGCAGTTGCATAATGGTGGTCACTTCTGGGTAATACAGAGTAGTCGCCACTTTGCTTCTAAGTGGTCGAATGCCTGGAGCATCGATAGTGTATTCTAGGAAGTCTAATGAGTCAGTTCCGATTTGGCGTTTCTAAATGTTTATAGTAGTGCCATGTTTTTGTAGTCGTTAGAAAACAAGATCCAGATGCTGGAGGTGCGATTCTCTGTCCGGACTAGCTATTAAGCAGTCGTCAACATACTCATGTACGAAGTTGAGACCTCGTAAAACGTCATCTATGAAAGTGGAAAGTTTGGACAGCATTTCTTAGACCGAAAGACATTCGCAAAAATTCGTAGAGTCCGAAGGGAGTGATGGTAGCGGTTTTCAGAATATCGTCTGTAGCCATATGGATTTGGTTATACGCTTTAACCAAGTCGATTTTCGAAAAGATAGTTGTACCTTTCAAGGTAGCTGTCAAATCGTGAATGTGAGGTAACGGGTAACGATCTGGAATGGTTTTTGCATTCAATCGCCGATAGTCACCAGTTGGACACCAATCGTTGCTGTCCTTTTTAGGGACCATGTGCAACGGAGATGCATATGGGCTGTTTGACGGTCGTATGATTCCTAAGTCTATCGTGTGGTCGAATTCTTTTTTGGTCAACCTTAGCTTTTCGGGATCCAGTCGGCGTGCTTTAGAGAATACAGGTGGCCCTGTAGTCGTGATGTGATGTGTAACGTTGCTCATTACACACGGCAATTTCGGTTGCGATTAGTATATCTCATAATACTTAACGAGTAGTGGTTGATGGAATGAGTCTATCGTGTGGTTAATTGTTACTGGAGATAATCTGCAACCTGGAAAAGCAGTTACGCAGACAGATAAATTAGTGTTTCCGTCTACTGGCCTCCGCTTACGCGTATCGATGAGTAGATTGTGGTGTTGTGGGAGGTCTATGCCAATGATCGGCATAGAAACACCAGCAACAACAAAGATCCAGTGAATGGATTTGCGTTAGGGTGAACGTACCTTCTACCATATTTAGCGATAGGCTTTCCATTTGCCGCCTGTAGATTTAAAACCGATTCATGAAGCCGGTCGTTGGGATACCCTGGAATAACGCTAACTTCTGTGCCAGTATCGACGGGGCAGCGAACTTTCATTATCACATCTGTGACGTATAACAGACGGCTATGTTCGCTGGCTACGGTTGCCGTCAACGCGTGCCGGCTTGGAAGTTTCCCGAATTGTTTTTCGTGGTGGTCGATTTGGAGTTTGGAAAATTGCAGGTTTTTCTTCAATTTCTGGAGGACTTTCCATGATACCAGCACCAGTCGTGGTTATCCTTCTCTCGTGGGCCAGAGACAGATCGCTTACGTGAAGTGCTTCTACGTGGGGTGTGCGAGCGATTACGGTCGTTACGAAGATTACGATAATG